AAATAAATAAAAACTACAAAATATATAATGGTATATAAAAAAACTACAAAATATATAATGGTATATAAAAAAACTACAAAATATATAATGGTATATAAATAATACTAAAATAGCACTGGTAGAGAAAAGTACTGACAAAAAATAGTTTAAGCTAACTATTTTTACCCAATATTTGCACGCTATATTTTCTGTAATTGCCCAGCTAGGACTACAAGCATCAAGTTACTAGTAGTCACGTCTCATATGTGATTCTGCTCATATTGTGTGATGCATAAACATCTTATTGGTATTAACGGTTCCAAATCAATCATTTATATAGTTGGATTTCAGTTTCAGATTATAAAGTAGTTGTCAATGAGGCGTGGTGCTCATAAAGGTTTCAATCTGGTCTGCATCATGTCTCAACAGCATTTATCCATCTCTTCATGATAATCCAGAATAGTGTCAAAAGTAAAGCCCAAAATAATACGTACAGTGAATACGGCACGCAGGTTATGGAGCTGATCGATGTCTTTAACCAAACCTGAGCTGGACCAGCGCACAAGATAGTTTTCACTGCAAGAAAATTAAAAACATATAGATATTAAATGACATTATTTTCACAGCATAGTAGCAATTTCAAAATCATGAAATCCCGATGAACACATATACTGATAAATATAGTAGTACAGCTTTAATGCACTGCAAGACACTTTAGATAGAAAAACATTTGATAAATGCATAAATGCTAATGAAAATACAATGACACACTTGAATATAACAACATGATCATTTACTGCTGAAACAGACCATTGAGAATTGTGTGCATGGCACAAATGCTGTGGTTGATTTACTACTGAGGATGTGAAACATCATGGTTACTGGACACTGAGGCTCCCAAATGTGGGTCAAACTATTGTCAAATTATTAAAATTGGCCTAAATAATATAAAAATATTTTTTAAATATTAAAAATATTAAAAATATTTATAATATACTATATAATAATAATTAGTAACAATAATAAAATATAAAAATGTATATAAAGTTTTTCAAAATAAATAATAAAATACTAATAAAAAAAAAAAACTAAATAAATATAATAAAAAAAAATGTTTGTGCACTGACCTGATGCACTTGGACTCAATCGGGTCATATAGTGACATCAGCACTTCTGCATCTTCTCCGATTTTGCACACGACATTCTTGAGCGTGACGAACAGGGCGAACGAGGGTGTGGAGGCAAACTTGGCCTGCCTACTCAAATCCAAGTTCTGCTTCTGAGACTGAAAAATAAAAACAAATAAAAAATGATGGCATCTGAGCACATAGTTAGTCTTTCAAATGCGAGTCTTAAAGTCAGCAAGACTATTCATGCAAGACAGGCATTCGTGGCAGTCGGTCTCAAAGAAACTATATCACATTATGAATGATATGTATCTGCTGAAAGAGACTCAAGGACAGTGAACATCTGGGCAGGGTCACCTGGGAAAGACAGGACAGCAGTGCTGTTGTATTTTCAGACTTTCACCTACAGGTTTGCAACAACATGAGACAGAACTTTCATCTTTATGTGAAGAGTTTCTTTGACCTATTAGGATGTTAAATGAAAACTCCTGTCTCGCAGCATCAAGGGAAGCACCTGCTCAAGACTCATCTAAAAGCACTACAGGTTCAACAGCTGAAGTTCAGCAGTCAACAGAGAGACATTGAGGACAGAGATGTTCACCTCCTAGATAAGTATATTCGAGGGTTTATATGAACACAGTTCAGTCTAAAGAAGCCCTGACCTTCATAATAGTAGAGCTGAGCGATATCGTATATTCACAATGTATTAGAAATGATTTTGCTGACGATATAAAATTAATAAATACATTATTAATATTCTGTATGGTTTTTCTGGGAGATTTTATTGAGCATTATATATGAATGTTAAAAAATAAGTATATACAGAAAAATTATTAAAATTAAAATACTAAACCAAAACAGTATAAATTAATACTGTATGTCTCATATATATATATACAGTGGGTACGGAAAGTATTCAGACCCCCTTAAATTTTTCACTCTTTGTTATATTGCAGCCATTTGCTAAAATCATTTAAGTTAATTTTTTTTCCTCATTAATGTACACACAGCACCCCATATTGACAGAAAAACACAGAATTGTTGACATTTTTGCAGATTTATTAAAAAAGAAAAACTGAAATATCACAAGTCCTAAGTATTCAGACCCTTTGCTCAGTATTTAGTAGAAGCACCCCTTTGATCTAATACAGCCATGAGTCTTTTTGGGAAAGATGCAACAAGTTTTTCACACATGGATTTGGGGATCCTCTGCCATTCCCTCTTGCAGATCCACTCCAGTTCTGTCAGGTTGGATGGTGACACTTTAAAACACAGTTGGCTGAAAGAGACAAAGATTTGTGTTCTACTGACCCAAATGGATCCATTTATTTGGACATTCTCTACTAAATGAATGTGAAAATGAGCATAACAGAAAAAGAATAAGACAGATTAAACTGATTTTCAGTAAATGTAAGTAGCACTTAGTGTAAAAGTCACAACCATGATAATGAAGTGTTATCAATGGTTTCAGCATGTTGCTATGTGGTTACTAAGAGCATTCTGGATTTGTATCGAAACAAAATAAAAACCTTTCACTTGAAGTTGACAAAGACAGAGACTTGAACTGAGAACTGAGAGTTGTACATGTGAGTCACTAGTGACTTTTTCACCTAAGCGGTTCTATCGTCTCATCTGTATACTCACTTCCTCCTACAGCTAAAGTTAACAGGAACACTGAAACACTCCAAAAATGTAATAATGAACTTGCTGCTAGTGCTATTAGATGGCCTTGAATGTGTTTAAAGAGTGGGAAAAAGTCTGTAAGCGTGTAACTAGAGTAACTTAATAGAACTGCAATTAGCCCCGCCCCAAACTCACACCATTGGTTGAGCCGATGCACCTCTACAATGGAGGAGGGCTTCAGAAATAAAATCTCAATATACATACACATACATATGTGTTTATATATGTATATGTATGTGTGTGTGTGTGTATGTATATGAACATGTATACTGTATGTATATATATATATATACATACATATATATATATATATATATATATACACACACACATATATATATTGGCTTAATAGACAGATAAGCTGAGAGTGACTCTTGAAGGACCAGCACGTATATTTTTTAAATATCAAACAAAATTCTAAATTCTAAATTAAATATAGCCTAGATGAATCCTTAAAGCTATAAAAGTTATTTTTTCCTCTTTTTTTCTTTGTCCTTTGATTAATAGACAACACAGCAGCAGGTTATTAGGTTGTTTTGGCTGTTATTTCTTTAAGAGCTGCCGCTGCTGAACGTGATAAATCAAATTTAACAACTGAATTAGAAAAATTACGTTACCCATGATGCTGAACATAAAATCCCACTAATCAGAGTTGCAGCAAGCAAATCAAGTAAAAACTAAATACTTAAATATTACATTGTACATTTATGTATATTTAACAATAAACTTCATATAAACTTTCTATATATATAATCTGTAGATATAAGATATAATTCTATAGATATAATTATTTTTCACCATCATTTTTAATTCAGTTATGTTATTTGTTTTTTTGTGCGATTTTTTTTGTGAATTGTAATGTTGTGATTCACCTTGTAGCTGGTTGGTTTGGTTCATGGCTTATAATGCTTTAACAAAGACTTTTTTGCTGAACAAAGGCCGTTTGCTTGAGGCTCTGTTTTACAGGTAATAATGTTGTAAATAATGTTCAGTTTCTAGCACATACCAACCATTTCGTTTAATAAGATCTCAGTATATCGTCAGGAGCCACAGGTATTCATTTTGTGTTCCTTGATATGCTTTTTTTGACTCTCAAAGTGCCAGTAGCGGTTGACTTGCATTTTATGAACCACCAAGGACCACGGTTCCAGCTAAAAATCTTCTTTACTGCTCTACTGAAGAAAATAAGTCACCTACATCTTGGATGGCCTGAAGGTGAGTTAATTAACAGCAAATTTTCATTTTTCGGTAAACTATCTCTTTAATTTTTTTTTTTTAGTTTTCTGAAGATTTTCTGAAAATGCCTGCACATGCAAAAATGCACCACCACGTGTTGTGGAGTGTTCTGGGCATATAGAACACTTACTGGTCCTTCAATGCAAGTCTACTTGTTTTTTGGTTTGCCAGGTGAGAATCATCTAATAGCATCACCATTTAATACTTGGAGTTAAAAGTTTAATTCCTTAACCCTAAGTACGAATAACAGCACACACCGCTGATTAATAACAAGTCTTTTCTTCCCCAAATGAAAGCGGATAAAGTGCTGAAAATCTTTCACAATGACCCTTCACAGCAAAAACAGACCCTGAATAAAAATGAAGAGCAATAAACGCTCTCATTAAAAGTCAGATTTTATGTAACGGACTGCAGTTGTGACTTCCAGCTCACGCTCTCACTGTTCCAACATGACCCGATCAGCACGAATCAGCAGCTTGTGTGCGTGTGTTTGTTCATACTTGTTCCCGTAGTCCATCTTAGAGGTGACTTTCTGTTTGAGCTCGGACATCTCGTCCTGCGGGAGCGTGCCGGACAGGATCTGGGAGCGCCACTCAATCAAGTCGTAGATCATGTCTCGAACCGTGTTGAACATCTCACGCTTGTCGCCCTGTTGGAAACAAAGTCTGGTTAAAACCCTGCAATGCATGTTAATTAATTAGTCAAAGCGCATGCTGCTGCATAAAGGCACAATGCTCTTAATCACTGTAGACAAACAGCCCCGGAGTGTCATATTGCTTGCTTATGCAATTAAAAGAGTTTATAAACTGTCAATGAGACACTTTTCAAAAAGGTTTGAAAACGAACTTTAATTTTTAACTTGTATATCACGTCAGAGCTTTTCAACATCTTGCCCCCAGGTGAAAAGGATCAGATTTATTAGAGAAAATTGCAATGTGTCTCAGCAGATTAATGTTTTTGCTCTGTGATGTCACTGCGATGTGTTGTCATCAAAACAATATGTCGTTAAGCTCATGTTGTCTATTTCCCTAATATATTAGCATCCAAAAAGCAGCGTCAATTGAGTGGGATGTCCAAATTTGTTGTATTCATAAAAAGTGACCAAAAAATACCCGGATGACCTACTACATATGGCAAGATTTTGAAGTGTGCATCTGATGGACACTTTAGTATCAGTGATGGGAAAAGGTTTATAAATAGTGGAGATGTGATGCAACTGACAGGTCACATGACAAAACCGGCATGGCCGGATTGCATTCATACTACACATGCATATTTTATAGAATACACTTTTTTTAATTGTGTGTGTGTGTGTGTGTGTGTGTGTGTGCGCACCATGTCAGCATACAAGAATATTTTCATGGTGAAAAACAGATTGATGTTCAATGTTTAATTGATTTATGATTTGTGTTCAAGGAATAAACATTAAGTAAAAAAAAAAGAATAATAAAATAAATAAATAAATAAAAAGACAAAATTTACATTAAATAAAAAATTCAAAAGAAAAAAATAGAAAGACAAGATACTTTAAAAAAAATAAAAAGAGAAAGAATATAAAATAATAATAAATAAAATTAACATAAAAGATAAAATAAAACAAGATAAGACAAAAATGAGATTAATATAATATAATATAATATAATATAATATAATATAATATAGCTCATCGGTCTGAAAAGCGAGGTGTGCTCTGATTGGCCAGCTATCCAGTGCGTTGTGATTGGCCGAATACCTCAAGCGTG